ATACACAAAATGTGAAACAAATGTATGATTTTTGATGAGATGTGTTCAGCACAGGCACAGATTTTTTGTTTGTTATTAGCAAAACAATTGAGTTTTTAAAACACTGTTTTGTAACTTCTCTATCTGCCTCCGATTCTCCTCATTCTTTCCTCATTGTCTCTCTGAGCTGTCTCACCTGTCAACCCCTGATGGACCCCCCAGTGACCCTTATACAGTATCTGTATGTACGAATGTCTGTCTGTCTGTGTTGCTTCCGGACCAGAGTTGGCTGGGAGGGCTTTATGTGTGTAACACTGAATAATGGATGACCTACAGGCTTTTTTCACCGCCACTATTCTGCCCCGTGTGTGTGTGTGTGTGTGTGTGTGTGTGTGTGTGTGTGTGTGTGTGTCGGTGTGTGTGTTTACAGGGTTAAATCCTGTTAAAATGCAAATAATCTCCACTGCAGTTTTTACGGTTTTAACTGATTGCCGTCTGCTGTGACTCGGAAATCGACTCCACTTTAGATCCAATCCGAGCCATTTTATTGTGAATTTCACACCTTGCTGCCTCACTACAACGCGATAGATATGGTGTGGTTCCTGTGGCAACAGGCCTGTCAGTCAAGGTCATACATGACTGGATGAAGCAAGGAGAAATCAAGGGTCATCCATGAAGCAAGGAGAAACAGAGCAGAGGGCGAACAAAGGAAAAAGTCTCCTCCATCCGAGGAATAGTATTTTGTCGTGTGACATGATTTGGACGGCAGCTTCTCCTTTGTGTGTGTGTGTGTGTGTGGAATGATGAATCGAGGGAACAGGTTACAGTGGTGTACACTAAAATACACATTGGCTGGGTTGCACCAACATGGATTAATGCTTAAACTAAATTGATTGATGGTTTAACTTTAAATCCTGTTGCACCAAACTTTTAAACTTCAATTTAGACCTCTCTTCAAACTGCAGTAGTTTTTTACTCTATTACATGTAATGCTGTTGCACCAAAACCTCATACTCCAGTAATAACAGGTTCAGCCTGAACAATGGCTGCCTTTTTGTCATGGATTGAGCAAAGTGAGTTTCTCTAAAAACGTTGAGGGACAGACTCAACCAATTGAGTTTTCTTCCAGTTGCAGTCTCTTCTTTCTCTACTGTGCTGCTGTCAGCTTTTGTCTTCTGTTATTTGGCAGTATTGCTCTGTTAGGTTGGCCAATATGTTTTTATCAAAGGAGGAAAAATAAGACGTTCTCTCCCGAGACATGACTGAGAGCAGCCGAAATATGACCCCCTTTTATAGCTTATTATACGTCCCAACAGCACGCAAATGTATTTATTTTATTTTATTTGGGGAAGCAAGCATCTCCATATCTCAATTTTTTTTCTTTATTTTGGAACTGAACTTTTTACTGCTTTTATTTTTGATAAATGACAGTTTCATATTGTGAGGGATTTATTATTGCTTACAATACATATAACTTTAGTGGTATTAAAAACAATAACGAAAAGTACAAAAACGTAAAAAATTAAATATCTTAAAATCTCAGAACTCTGCTTAAATTTAAATCTGGAGTTACTGCTAAAGTTTAGTTTTGCTAAACTCTGATTAGAATAAATCCTAGATTGATTTAATTCTTGTTGGTGCAATGACACTGCAATAGCACTTGAAATGATCATCGTTAAGTTCCTGTTTTTGTCTCTTTTGTTGTTGTGGTGCTTTTAAAGTATTACCTTTAAATATTTATACACACAAGCATCCGTCTAACCTAGTGGTTGTTAGGAGAAATGACATCAGAAAAGCAAGATAAATGTCTTCTCTCTGCAGTGCTGTGCATGTTAAACATATATGGTCTGGTTGTGTTGTGGTAGCGGCTTCACCTCCCAAACCTTTCAGTTCATCAGTAATGGATCCAGACAGACAGGGCAAGCACATGAATGGTCGATTTTGTTTAACTCTGTGTTTTTTTTCTCTCTGTCCTCTTCTCCAAGTTATTTTCCGATATAAAACCAGTGATGGTGAGGAAGGTAGAGCAGCACCAAATTACTTTAGATAACTCTGATAAACAGCGCATACACTAAATTCTCGAATAAAATTATGTAAATCAATAAAGGTCAATTGCTAATAAAGACTGAGTAAAACATAATTTGGTTGGGTAGGATTACCGTGGCCGGGGAAAGGCCACAACAAATCACTTGTAAAGATGTGAGATCAAATTAAAGTGTTACGTTGAATCAGAGAGAAACAATATTGATAGGAAAACAAAGTCAATGTCAGTAGAACCTGTGGTGGACTCTATTAAATGTCCAGTGTGTAGGTTTTGGTGACACCTAGTGGTGAAGTGGCAGATTGCACCCAACTGAAGCTTCTCCCATGTGCCAAGTGTGTAGGAGAACTATAGTGACAGATGTGAATGGCCAGTGTTTCGTTTGTCCGTTCTGGGCTACTGTAGAAACATGGCGGCCGGTTCCGTATAAAGGACCTGCCTTGAAACTGCCGTTACATCGTCTTTAATAAGACATTTGCTATTTAAAAACGTCGGGTTTGTGCAATGTGTCCTATTGTTTTGCTGTTGACGATTCACTCTGACCAATCAGTGGTTTAACTCCACCTTCTAGTATCGGCTCAGCTCGCTTGGAACCTCGACCGAGGTGGTTGTATTGGTACCATCCACCACTTATGCTAATGTTAACAGGACAATAACCTCTGTAATGTGTTACAAACTGAACTGAACTGGACCGTGTGTCCTATAGAGTACTTTGTACTATTAATCAAGCCAAAACATTGTTACAAGTTTTAGTATGTACCCTACTTGTCTTGTGACAGAAAATGTTGTCCTCTTTGGATGGAGGAGGCAGTAAATTGTTATATTTGGTACTATTAATGTAATCTTTTACAGCCTGCAGTGTATGTGCTGTAAATCTGAGTTTTCAGGGATAATATATTCTCTCAGAGTTCCTCGAAGGTCATGGGCAATCTGCTAAAGACCTGCTGCTCGTCATTTTTACTGATACATGTAACTGGCACTCCAATTGGAAGTTAACGATGATGGTGAGGGTTTAGTGAAGATATCTGTCTGTCATTATGTTGATTCCATCTAATCTTACAATCGTCTGGCAATAACTCAATGCTTTAGGCTGGTCAGACACCCAAGTTCCACGTTTCGTCTGAGCCAGGTCCAACGCGGCTCATCTTCCCTTTAGTTTAGCTCAGCTCAGACTCACACACATAGGCCTACGTGCTGTATCTGCATCACTGTAGCCTCAGCTGCTAGCTGCTGCTGCTACACTGTTTGCTTCCTTAAACTCCTCTGGGCTGTACCATCTCTGCCGAGCAGAGGTCCTCTGGGCTTTCAGGATGTCCTCGTGGACAGATTTCTCCCCTCCAATCTGCTGCATCGCACCCGTTCTCGACCCCCCCCCCCCCAACCCTCCTTGTTGTCCCTCACAACCAGGAGCTCGCAGTCTCGCAGGGCTGTCGGCCAGAAAAAACGCAGCCTCTTAATACCCTCCTCCGCCTCAGATTCCCCCCCCGCTCATAGTACAATTGCATCATTTCCAGCTTGCGAACGGGAGCGGAAGAGAGGAAAGAGAGAGAGGGAGGGAGAGAGAGAAAAGGAGGGAGGGAGGGAGATGTTTTGAGCTGGTTTGCAGGGAGAGAGGTTGGCCTGAATGCGTTCCGTCTGCTCTTCAGAGGCATCCAGGTGAGCTGTTTCCTCCTGGAAGGTAAGAGGAAGATTGAGATTGGTGCTTATTTTGTCCTGCATTCCCCCCCACCCATTTCTTGCCATTCGGATACATCGCTTCTGATTTAGCGTGTGTGTGTTTGAGCATGAATAATATTCCCCAGACATACCACACACATGTAATATTGTACAAGGCGATGTGCAGATATGCAGACGGCATATTTATATGGCAACTATGGACGGTGTGTGTACGAGTGTGTGTGTTGTGGTTTATGTTTGGGATGGGGAAAACTGATGATGAGCTCTCATGCTAGCATGACAGCTTGAAAGTGGACAGCCCACCTGAGTCTCAGTAGTGAGGATGTGATGAGACACTGGGGATTGGAAGGAAGTAGCGGGAAAAGGGAGAAGTGTGTGTGTGCGTGTGTGTGTGTGTGTGTGTGTGTGTGTGTGTGTGTGTGTGTGTTTAGCTTTATCTGCAGTTTTTGCAACAAAATCTCAACGTCTGCCTGAAACAACGGCAGCACTGCCAGTTGTTCTCCCCCCATCACCACCAGCCATCCCCTCTTTGCTAATAGGTAGCATTTCCGTTGTGGTGGTGAAATGGGTGCTGATGTTGTCTAATGGACGGGATGCTCGGCTAAAGCATTCGTCCTGCTCACTCTACGCCCCACAAATTTGCAACACGCTCGTCTTTTCTCAGCCCAGAGGAGATGGAATGTTGACACCGTGGAGAGGACGAGGATGAGAGAGATGGGGGACAGGCCATTTACCATCTGTGACGGCGTTTTGTGGACGCTGCACGGCTTTTCTGCACGGCCATATGCAGCTCCTCGGGACGACAGCGGACCTGACTGTTAGGAAAGAGAGATAGAGGGAAACAGGAGGAGTGCAGTATCAAGGTGTCATGTTCGAGAGAGGATAAGTGTTTTCAGGATACGGGGCCAAATCTAAAGTGATGTCCTCTTAACTGAGAAGTAACAAAGACTCTTTTTGGCAGAGCTTCAAATCCAAAGTTACCCTCAGTAAATGTAAGAAATGGGTTGAATCAAAGCTTATCTGTGTTTACACTGCTTTTATTTATTTGTATTATCTGTGTATGTAGAGTTCACTCAATGTGAACATCTCCATCATTAACCTGGAAAGTACTGCTTTTCTGGAAATCTTTTCAAATTTCTGAACACTTTCTCAGTATAGGTCATAAACTGAAGCGCTTCTTGGTTTAGTCCTGTTCCACTATATTAGGCACTAAATCATTTTCACTTCATTAAAAAGGTTTTGAGCAAGAAAATTAAAATATCTCCATGTGTCATCCTGCAGTTTTTTCTTAGTTAGTGTTTAAAGTTAGTGTTTAAAGTCAGTTTAAAGTCATCCTCACGTAATCATTTTTTTATCGTGAGTGACATGGCTTCCTATGACCAATGGTCACCTGCTTCTCGTTAGACTAATCAGGTGGCTGCTTTTTGAAATGTGAAGCCAAGATGGCCGCACCATTGCTGTCAACATCTAGTAGCAAAGAAGAGGAAACTACGGCAAGACCTCCTTCAAAAGTTTGAAAACCATATGCATCTTACTTTCATGAAAACAAAGTGCCAGTAGATTTTTCATGGACACGTTGGGACACATTTAGAAACGGCATTAAGCGGTGGCTTGGCTTGCAGGGTGAGAGTCAGAGAATACCAGAAAAAATACAAACACTTTATAGAAATAGAGTTTGACAGTTTCTACAGTCGTTTCATAGACCATAATGTGGTTGAGAAACGTATCGCACTACCTTCTGAAGCTCAACCTAAGGCGGTGCCATCAAGTAGTAACGTCTCAACCAGTGAATGTCCGACAAAGAAGCTTAGGTTCAGGAGGGGCATGCTAGTAGCTTCTGCCGGCGCTGTGCTTCCTGCCTTGTGCATAATGAAGATACATCTAGTCAAAAAAAAAATCATATTTCATTTCTTATCCAAAAAAACAAGTTGTTCACGTAGCTCAGGAGGAGTTTTGGGTTAAATGATGACGAACTAATGTCGAAATTGAATGCTCTTCAATAGATTCTAGTGTCCCTCCGGAGGCACTTTCTGGTAGTCCGGAAACTACTGGGCGGACTTTGTGATTTAAATGTACACAAGTTGTTGGAGCCACAGGCTTTGGGTTTGACCAATGAGTAATGTTCAATGCTGCAGAGTAAGCAGCATTGTGTGCCACTAGTGACAGTTTTAAGACATGGAACAAACAATGCTTGTGTTGACCTTAAAAACAAAGTTATAGTTTAAAAGGATCTTGTTTTCTACCAATGAGCCCTTGTCACAGGTTACATATGACTATGAGCTGTGGGCAGTTTATCCAAAGAGGTTGGGAGCCACTGATCCAGACACCACCCATAGATGACCGATCGGTCTGGTTTCAAAATATCAAGCTCAGTCAATTACATGATGAATGTTTTCCTGACTGAACTCACATTGTGAAAACTGAGCTTCTGGATGTAGGTGGGCTTTGTCAGGCTGTATTCAAGCAGTGACTAGTTGAACGCAAAGGTTATATTCCTCCGTATTTATACCGCCTCTTTGTTTTCGTCTTGTTGCTTGTTTGTGTAGAGGTTACGATCCTGAGCTTCAGTGCTGGCTCCTGGAAGAGAGGGTCAGGACCATGTAAGCAGACAGCAGACACAATGCTTTTATTCAGATGTGTTTCCCCACAGATGGTGTCAATGGCGCACGGCGTGATTCATATCAAGTGGCTACAAAATTAAGGTGTTTGCTTAAGTGGCACTTGTGCTAATGAGTCAGCAGTGAATGCTCAATTAGACCTGCAATCCGCATCCAGTTAATGCCATTTTGTTATGCTGATTTCATGTGGACACTGTTATGTAACATCTCTTCAGACACCGTAATGCCGTGTTCACACCAAACACAGCGTGAAGGATTCGCGCGACTAGATTACATGCAAAGTCTATGCACAGACGCGATGCGACTGGAGTGACGCGAATTTGCGATGGCGAATTCGGGCAAAGTCGCGGCAAACGCCAAAACACCCCCAAATGCGTGAGTTGACATTCTTCGGCGAAAAAATGGCGTGCCGCTGTGGCGCGATAGCCTATCAGCATTGAGATGTTTCTCCTGTCATCACTGACGTCCTGCCGTTGTTGAATCAGGAAATAAATACTGTAGCTGTCTGTGTTCACTCAGAGCTCTACAATACCTCATATCAGTAGAGACCGGACCAAACTATGTGTATAAATGTGTGTGTAAACCATATGGTACAAACAATGAAAAAGACGCGGTCGTATTTACGTCTAGATGACGTTATTGTGAGTGTTGATGGAGCTGCTACAATGTTAGCATAGCCTAGCACCGATCGATCTGAGCTCCAATGAGAAGTATTTTAAAAGTTATTTGCTTGTCGTCTTGTCGAGACAACTAACAAAACATGAATTCAGACCTTTTACAAATCAGCGTCATTACGTAGTTATTTCGGCATCCATTTTTGTCCCTTTATTGCAGTTAATAAATCACAGCAAAATCGGTTTATTTGGGGTTCATATAGCTGTAGTAAACCAACTAAACACAGTGAATACAGCTCGATAAAATACACGGAGCTCCTCCGGACTATGTTATGAACCCAGACAAGACAGCGTTTAGTTTACCGGGATGTCTGACTTCCACAACACGTACTAAGCAAAGATATAGGTTATTTTTTTCATGGTTGATGGCGGACAGTTGAACGGCTTCCAGGGCGATAATCCACGCCCCCTCTCAGGTGCATCCAGCGCGATTCACGCAAATGAACACAAATGGTCCCCGGCGAGACCGGCGGCGCGAATGACGCATTTGGTGTGAACACGGCATAAGGACTGCACGGCACTCCACAGCGCTGCGTCCTAAGGTCCTCAAAATGTCTTTAGATTTTTAGCCGTGCTTGCGGCTTTATTGATGGCAATGTAGCTTCTCTGTTAAAATATCTCACAATAATGGATCGCCATGGAATTATGTATAGGCCTTCATGCTTCATGGAGGAGGTATCTTAATGACTTTGGTGATCCTTTGTGTTTTCATTCAGCGCCAACATAAGGTTGACTTTTCTTGTTGTTGTTTTTTGAAATACACGTGGTGCAGCCATTTATGCTCCCCTCAGGACCAATTATAATCACTTAGGTGATCCCAAAGTGATCAATACTTTGGTTTATGACAAAATACTTGCCAAACTAATTGCATTCCCATCACCCTTAGCTGTACTTGGCGTTTACTTTACTTATTAATAATAATAACAATAATACATTTTATTTATAGAGCGCTTTTCAAAATTCTCAAAGACACTTTACAAACATTAAAATGATAAAAAAAAAAAAAGCTAAACACTAAAAACATAGCAGACACATTAAAAGCAGTTCTGTAAAGGTGGGTTTTGATTTGTTATTTGAACATGGAAAGATCGGTGCAGTCTCAGATGTGTTTGGGGAGAGAGTTCCAGAGGGAGGGGGCAGCTATGGAGAAGGCTCTGTCACCTGTGCTTGGTACTGAGTGGAAGAGACAGGAGGTTGGCACCAGAGGAGCGGAGCCGATGGGAGTGTGGTGGTGAAGCAGGTCGGTGAGGTAGGAGGGGGGCCTAATTATGGAGGGCTTTATGAGTGAGGAGAAGGACTTTGTATTGGATCCGTTGTGGGACGGGGAGCAAGTCGAGATTCTGGAGAACAGGGGTGATCGTGGGAGTGGGTGAGCAGGCGAGTAGCAGAGTTCTGGATGTACTGGAGTTTATTTAGGATTTTGGATGATGTGCCATGAAGAATACTGTTGCAGTAGTCGATTCTGGAGGTCATGAAGGCGTGGATCCATGTTTCAGCAGCAGATAAGGAGAGTGATGGGCGGAGACGGGCTATGTTTTTTAAGTGGAAAAAGGCAGTTCTGGTGATTTGGTTAATGTGGTGTTCAAAGGAGAGGTTGCTGTCAAACATGATTCTGAGGTTGCGGATGTGTGGGGAGGGAGACAGAGTGGAGTTCTCGATGGTGAGGCAGAAGTTGTGACTGGTTTTA